AATACAATATATCAAAATTAAAAATAAATACACTTCTTTGTCGACTTTCTGGATGCAATATATGAAATCGACCAGTCAACATTGGTCGACCGGAATAAGGGGTCGATCAAGATGGAATTATTTTCTACTATTGTTCATATATTCTTTTCATCTCCTCATCTTTTGACTTTCTCACTAAAATAATATATGACGTTTTTCATAAATGTACAATAAAATAATTAAAAAAAATTTATTTTTAATCTATTCATCATTTTCTGTTTTACTAATTTTAAACATCAAAGAAGAGTTCAAAACTAGCATTAAAAAGAAAATATAATGCATGTACATTAAAATGAAAAAAAAACAAATAATAAATCTATATCAAAATTAGAAATAAATACACTTATTTGTCGACTTTCTAGATGCAATATCTAAAATCGACCAGTCAACATTGGTCGACCGGAATAAGGGGTCGATGAAGAGGGAATTATTTTCTACTATGGTTCATATATTCTTTTCATCTCCTCATCTTTTGACTTTCTCACTAAAATAATATATGACGTTTTTCATAAATGTACAATAAAATAATTAATAAATTTTTATTTTAAATCTATTCATCACTTCTTTGTCGACTTTCTGGAAGCAATATTTAAAATCGACCAGTCAACATTGGTCGACCGGAATAAGTGGTCGATCAAGAGGGAATTATTTTGTACTATTGTTCATATATTCTTTTCATCTCCTCATCTTTTGACTTTCTCACTAAAATAATATATGACGTTTTTCATAAATGTACAATAAAATAATTAATAAATTTTTATTTTAAATATATTTATCATTTTCTGTTTTACTAATTTTAAACATCAAAGAAGAGTTCAAAACTAGCATTGAAAAGAAATTATAATGCATCTACATATTGTGGTGACGGCACGTGTGATGACAAATACATAATGATTTATAGACACATGTCACGCGTGCATGTTAAACTTTATTAAATCTTCATTATTCTACTATTGTTCATATATTCTTTCCAGATTTGATGTGACCGATGAGGGTATATCAACAGATAAAGTATGTGTATTAATGACGATGGCCACACAGCTTAAATACAGCTTAAAATACGGAGTATTTCAATCGTTGAAATATCAGATTTAAACAGACAATTATAACAATCGGGTCTACTTCCTAATCGACATTTTTGGTCGACTAAAGGTTTAGTCGACCAATATGAAAACGAAATGTCAACCCGAATAACAAAAGATCAACTGTAATTTATTAAGGTCGATGGATATTTTATAAAGGTCGACCTGACCATTCCAAAACGATCCATTTGGATTTATGTATTTGAAAATAGGTCTACGATTGAGAAAACAAAAATACAATTAAGAAAATATGACTGTAGCGTTTAAACTAGAAATGATTGTAATCATACTAAAAATATATACAAAACAACCACCAAATATAAAAGTGTTTAATAGTTTTAATAATTGGTAAGCCTGGGTAGCATACGATGGCGAAAAGCATAAACAATGATTGTATTTTCTGCAATGAAGGTAAGCACAACCTTATCCCCAAGCCTTAACCCGTTGTCCTCCACAAAATTATGCCATCCTTTGGAGAGCCTGCAACCACTCTCCTTGACAGAGAGGGTGACTTCATTGGGAAACATTTCCGGGCCATAAATCTTAATGTTCATTGTGCCATCAGAAATTCCGTTGTTGGCGCAAAAAGACCTTGGCAACTCCTGAAACGAGACATTAAGAAACCTTAAATGATATTTCAATCAATTGGAATGTATTTAAAAAGAAAAAAACATTCAAACACACCAAATATGACTCCTTGGGGATAACATTGTGCGCCTCGAGTTTATGAACAAATGAACCTTGAATATCATCATCATCCTCTCCTGCAAAACAATAAAAAAATGAATCATTCAACAAAATATCTTTCATTTATGACTAAACTCGTGACTTATTCATATACATATATTCTTACCTGAATCATATTCTGGAAACCTAATGGGGTAGGTCACCCAATTGTCTTTGCCAAAAACTGTAACCAATAAACAAAACTCCCCAATTTTTTTAAAATGTAGAACAAATTTTGGTTGCAGTTGGTGTGTATGGGCAAAACCCTTCCATCTAGATTTGAATCGGTGTTTCCCATCATCACCAATGTAATGTTCGACCGGAAAGTATCCCATTCGAGTCAAGAGAAGCACTATCTTCTCGGAGGGACTCAATACATCAGATGGAATCACCTGTTCGATGATTTATTTTTTAAAAAACCCTTCTTTATAATATAAAGCGGATACAAATTATGTGATGCGTAGTTCCAAGATCTTACCAGGGTTTCAATGCAATCGGTTGACTCCCGCGGCATGTGGCAAGACCACTCTTGCGGAGAATTCCTTACACGACGCGAGGAAGAAGCCATCTCAACCTGTGTCTTACTTACACGGGTGCACACTGCATAGAAAATATGGTTTTAGAGAGATAGAGTGATAGAGTTATTTTATCCGGCGGTGACCAAAGGTCGTGACCAGTCATCGAGAAGTCAATGGTCGTAGCCAGTCATCGCGAAGTCACACCAATTGAATATTGAAAAATACTGAGTAATAAATCTTTGTACGCGGGAATAATAATTTCCAAAATTCTTTGAAACTAAAATAACTACCAATAACTGAAAAGTAGGGTCCACAACTAAACTAAACTAACTGTAATAGTCACAAACAGTATTGACACTAGAGCCATTCAATGACTAAAAAAAGTAGGGTCCACAACTAAACTAAACTAACTGAAATAGTCACAATCAGTATTGACACAACCACCCATTCAATGACTAAAAAGGTAGGGCCCAACTAAACTAACCGCAATAGCCACAACCAGTCAGACACCCAAGCCTCTCTATGACAACTGACTACCCATGACCGAAGAAGACGTGTCCGCAACTAAACTAACTGCAATAGCCACAACCTGTCAGACACCCGAGCCACTAGATGACCACTGACTACCCATGACAAAACTACCTGCAATAGCCACAACCAGTAAGACACCAAATGTATTTGATGACCCCTGACTACCCATGACCGAAGAAGATGTGTCCGCAACTAAACTAACCGCAATAGCCACAACCAGTCAGACACCCAAGCCACACGATGACCACCGACTACCCATGACCGAAGGAGAGGTGTCCGCAGCTAAACTAACCGAGCATTTCGATGACTACTATTATATTTTTTCAATTATAATACCAATTACATCCACGAATAAAACTATAACGCAATCAATATCATTCATTGATTGTGATTAATAAAAAATATATATCTATTTAGTTATATTCCATACATAATATATTTAATTTATTTTAATTTTTCATTTTAATATTTTAAAGATTTATATTTTTTATCTAGTCGGTATTTAAGTACATATTTAAAAAATTTATTAAAAAATTATAGATTTAGACGATAACTCATGTCCCTTTTGTTGTATTTACGGTAATTTAAACCGTAATTATGTTATTTATTCATGCTTCCATGTTTTTATTTAGGACTAAGTTGGGAGTAATTCTTACCATAGAATCGTAGATGGCCGGCCGGGCGGGGTGTTTGAAAAACTTTGGCCGCCGAAATAAAAAAATTGGGCGGGATGTTAGAAATTCTTTTTAATTCTCAGCGGGATCTCAAAAAATTGGGCGGGATGTTAGAAATTCTTTTTAAAAACTTTGGCCGCACTTGAAAGCCTAAAAACATACGCTATTAATCTTCTGTCTAGTCCGAGTAATAAATTTTACAGGAAAGGGAACGACGGGACCAACTCCTGAAACGCCTCAAAATATGCCGCAAACTTTTGTTACTCTGCTGCGGGAAGATGAGTTCTTCAGCACCCGACTCGTAAGTGTCTTTCAACAAAATCTTATTGCGTAGTTTGATTTTTAACTATTTTTGTATTTCGTCTGGATTAGATTTTTAACTATTGTTCTATATTTTCACATTACTCCCCCTAGCGCATCCCCGAATTGGTTGCAGACAGCATGGAGAACTTGAACGAGTTGATTATAGTGACAGGTCCGGACCCTACTATGATGAGAGTCACCATCTCGCGCACATCTTCTGCTACTTTTTTGAGAGACGGTTAGACGGCCATCGTAGATTTATACCAGTTAATGCCTGGATTTATCCTGCATTTCCAATACCATATCGGTAACATGTATTTCCTCACGGTGTTTGGTCCCCACGGTGCACAGATCCTTCCTGGCTTTTATTCAAGCGCAGAAGAAGACAGTGAAAATTCAATGTAATTTGTATCGATTAAACTTGTAAAATCTTTGAATATTTGGATGACTTATATATATTTTTGTCGGTATTAACTTTGAATATTTTTTATCTGGAGCAATTTCATAAAGTTAATTTTTCCGTCAACCAAACCTGTTCTTGCACTCTATGCCGACGACAACCATTACTAAACTTGGTCGACTCTAAAGTAAATACTACGTAGTAAATACTCTGTAGTAAATATTATTAATAAACGGTGGATGATCTTATTATTTAAACTACTCCCAGTAAAGTTATCTTGGTCGTTCTTTTAATAAGAGTCACATCGAATTCCATTTAATGTTTTTCATATTTCATAAATAGTTTCTATGATCGACCAAAAAAAATAATACGGAGTAAAATTTGAGTAATAGGTCGATTTTTGAAATATTTTTTGCCAGTAAAAATTCATTAATTATTTTAAAAAAATTTCCAACCATAATAATGGGACAGTGAATTGAGACAGTAAATAGTAATTGAAAAGATTTGATGTGACTGAGGCAGGTTATATCGAACGGTGGATAAAGGCCCTTCTTATAATCTCCGTAAAAATAATTATTGGGATATGGTTTCCCTGCATGCTTTTAAACTACCTGAATTCAATGCCAAACTGTAAAGTTATCTGTCCCATCTTATCTCTTGCTCAGTCATATTTTTTGCCCACTATTCCAATGGGATTAGTTTGGTCGACCTAGCCCACTAATAAACTTGGTCGATTTTTTATTAAGAGTCGCATCTAGTTCTATGATCGACCAAACCTAATATTAGAAGAGGTCGACCAACTAATAATATTAGAAGAGGTCGACCAAAACCAAAATAATAAAATCTGAGCATATATCGATTTTGAAATATTCTTTCCCTCTAGTTGTTTTACAGAATTTTGCATACAAATATATTATGTTCTTCATTTGTATTCTTATAAGAATAGACTTATACGGAGTAAAAATTCTTTAATTATTTTAAAAAAATTTCCAATTGTAATAATGGGATAGTAAATAGTATTTTAAAAGATTTGATGTGACTGAGGCAGGTTATATTATATCGAACGGTGGATAAAGGCCCTTCTTATAATCTCCGTAAAAATAATTATTTGGATATGGTTTCCCTGCATGCTTTTAAACTACCCGAATTCAATGCTAAACCGTTCAATGTCATTACACCAAGAACCGTTCAATGCCAAAGCCTTCTTTCACCAAGTACCAATTGTTATCCCCCTTATGAATTCTATCATTGCACCATCCTATACTCAATCCATTCACAAATCCGGTTGTTCTCCAATCCTTTCACCCATCATATTCTCAAATCCGGCTATTTATCCTTAAAATTTCTCACCTTTATATTATAATGTATTGGGAGTAATGGTTCTTTCATTTACGTGGTTATTTACTGAAGAGCGTAATGGATTTCTCGTGTTAATAAAAAGAGCTTAATGGATTTCCCACCGCCTTAATCGGAAACACATTGTTTTTGGATCAACAATGTGTATTCTTCCCGTAAAGTTATTTTGGGGGTGGAGAGATGTGCGCCAATTGCTACTGGCTCTTAGGAGGGCTATGGAGGAGGAGGCATAACGAGTACAGAGCTGACATGGTGGAGGCTCTGAGCTCATGTGGTGAGTCCAAGAATGTGCTTCTCACTACAGAGTCCAGTGTTGGATTATGTTATTACAGTCCATCTGTATTATACCCACCCTGGGAGGGTTGACTTCTGGACTTTATAATACAGATGGACTGAAAATAAAAATAATTAATCTATCAAAGGATCAACTACTACAGACCTACCATGGAAGAGGCTTTAGCTCAAGTGTCGAATCAAAGAATATGCACATTCACACTACTGTGACCAGTAGTCTACATTTTGTGATGGACACACATAACGAGTTCCATTTGTGCTTTTGTTTTTTTCTTATTGTTGCCGAATGTTAAACAATGTACAACGAAGTTAATTTCTGTACTATTTCTTTAATTCATTTATATGATCATCTTTAGTTTATTGGAATCAAGGTTGTTTTCATATATTCACGTTGATTGTTAAACAATTTGATACAGAGTACAACATTACAATAATTCTTACAATAACCGGAAAAAAAGTTTCCAAAAGTTTACAAAGGGGAAATTTATTCTGATCTTAATTCAAACCATTCATCATCACTCTTCGTCACTCATATCAGAGGAATATCCAGAATCAAGGTCACTCCCTGATAATCCTAGGATTTTTGCCAAAGCTTCCACCCTCGCTTCCAAATTCTGCATGATTTCCATCCAATTTTGAGACCCGTTTTGGAGTTCTATTTCTTCTGTCTCCGGTACCCCCAGCTTTTTCTCCATATCCTTCACTCTCTCCTTCCATGACTGAATTTTTTTCTCAATGTTTTTGGGGACATCATTTGCTTTGTTTTCCATATCGAAAATTGTTTGAGATGCGGGTGATTTACATTTCAATACGGAGTATTTCCGTATATATAAGCGTGCTTCACTCTCAGCCAGCATTAACATCCCGTGAACTTGGTCAAAGTTTGGGAAATGTGCGATTTTGAACTTTATGCTGCATGTGAATAGGAAAAGAAAAAGTAAACATAAAGTAAACCGGGGTACTTATTAAATTATTATGTCGACCTACTAGAATGTCGACATATGTGGTCAACCTACTGTAAAGCAATGTTTCATATTAGAATGTCGACATATGTGGTCAACCTACTGTAAAGCATCATAGATATTTCCGTCAAGGTTTTGGGAATTGTGCAGATTTGTAAGTAATGCATGCGAATTTTAATAATGTCGACCTATTACAATGTCGACATATATTTGGTATCGGTTAGTACTCCGTATTATTTTAAACAAATACTAATTTAATATTCCATATCCGTTAGTATTTTTTAAATTACAGAATGAGTTAAATACGTAATTAGGAATCGATGCGTCGATTTAAACTTTTCTCAGTTTACAATTTACAAAACGAGTTAAATACTGTACGTAATTAAGAAACGACGCTTATGTTTATCCGTTGACGGCGTCGTTTCATTTATGGGCTGGATACTATAAATACGAGAATCACCAGCTAGGGTTTCATACTTTCTTCCCTATCAAGGTTCATTCTCATCCATTTGTAAAGATCTGCAAAATGACGAGTTTTAGTGTTATCCTCTCCAGTGATCTTGGTTTCAGAGAAAGATTGGTTTGAGATTTCATTCATTTTCTTGTGTTTCTTTTACTTACTTTTAAATTATGTTATGTCTAATTAACTCAATCTTTTACTGATTCAGAGGATCCTAGAATACGTTAATAAGATTGTCGGTGGTCCAAGCTACGCTGATGGCGATGTCATCAGGATTTTTGGCCCTCTTTCCCCAGACCTGTTGAAGTGAAAATTGAAGTATGTGAGCAAGGAAACCTCTTTTTTGGGGAGGGCTGGGCTAGAATAGTTGAGGCCTATAATCTGGAGGAGATTCATATTCTTCATTTTCATTATGTAACGGACTTTGATTTTTCTATCAAAGTTTTTGGTCAAAATGGGCGTGCGGTGGAATACTAATATTTCCACCGAAGAATAATATGTACTCCCTATTATTTTTATTTTAATGAACTTTCTCCTTCTGCTCATCCATCCTTTATGATATTTTGATACTCCATGAGAGAAGATCTAATAGTTAACTTCATTCTTGGAAAAAGGTCCACAACTTAGCCTGAATATGACATAGAAATGGAAGAGGTTGACTCTTGCATTAATATGGTAGGTCGACTTTAAAAATGTGGCCTTAAATTCTCAATGCTTAATGCGTTAGTTTTCACAAAAGACACATTTAAATATAATAGCACAAGATTTATATTTAGGATTTTTAAAAATTCTCTCTACATTTAAATATAATGTCGACATTTTAAATATCGACCTACTCTAATGTCGACACTATTACTCCCTATAATTATTATTATTATTATTATTATTATTATTGTTGTTGTTGTTGTTGTTGTTTTTAATATTATTATTAAAGTTAATGCTGATAATGGTCCTTGTACAAAATTTAAATGTTAATACTGAATGTGATTTTTAAATTCATTGACCTACTACGATGTCGACATATGTGGTCAACCTACTATAAAGCAACGTTTCCTTCACGTTTTATATTATAATGTCGACATTTTTTATATAGACCGAAGATTCGTTGATATTTCCGTCAAGGTTTTGGGAATTGTGCAGCCTTGAAATTAATGCATGCGAATTTTAATTATGTTGACCTATTAAATGTCGACCTATTACAATAATGACATTATTAATTTCGATATATTAATAAGCATTTTTTTCATTTATATTTTGTATCGGTAAGTATTATTTTAAAGAAATACTAATTTCATATTCCATATCCGTTAGTATTTTTAAATTACACAACGAGTTAAATACGTAATTAGGAAACGATGCGTCGTTTACTTTCCTCAGTTTTTAAATTACAAAACGAGTTAAATACTGTACGTAATTAGGAAACGACGCATATGTTTATCCGTTGACGTTTTGGTTTTGGGAATTGTTGAGCTTTGTAATTAATGCATGCGAATTGTAATTATGTCGACCTATTAAATGTTGACCTATTATAATATCGACAATATTAATTTCGACATTGATAAGCATTGTTTTCAAACTTGATGGTGTCGTTTTATATTTGGTATCGGTTAGTATATTATTTAAACAAATAATTAGGAAACGACGCCTATGTTTATCCGTCGATGGCGTCGTTTCATTTATGGGCTTATACTATAAATCTGAGAATCACCGGCTAGTGTTTCATCCCTATCAAGGTTCATTCTCATCCATTTGTAAAGATCTGCAAAATGTGCAGTTTTGGTGCTATCCTTTCCAGGGATCCCGGTTTCAGAGAAAGATTGGTTTGAGATTTCATTCATTTTATTGTGTTTCTTTTACTTGCTTTTTAATTATATTATGTCTAATTCACTCAATCTTTTACTGATTCAGAGGATCCCAGAATACGTTAATATAATTGCCGGTGGTCCAAGGTACGTTGATGGCGATGTCATCAGGACTCCTGGCCCTCTTTCCCCTTACCCTGTTGAAGTGAAAATTGAAGTACGTGAGCAAGGAAACCTCTTTTTTGGTGAGGGTTGGGCTAGAATTGTTGAGGCCTATAATCTGGAGGATACTCAAATTGTTCACTTTCATTTTGTAGTGGACTTTGATTATTTAATCAAAGTTTTTTGTGAAAATGGGCTTGCGGTGGAATATTAATATTGTCACCGAAAAATAATATGTACTCCTTAATATTTCTATTTTAATGAACTGTTTCCGTCTGCTCATCCATCCTTTGTGATATTTCGATACTCCATGAGATAAAATCTAATTGTTAACTTTAGTTTTTGAAAAAGGTCCACAACTGATCCTGAATATGAATTAAAAATGAAAGAGGTTGACTCTTGCATGAATATGGTAGGTCGACTTCTCGTTTATGAATATGGTAGGTCGACTACTTTTGTTCAATGGTTGGTCGACTTGTCGTGGATGTTGCCTTAAATTTTAAACGTTAAAGTGATTCTTTTCAAATTAAGGTCAACCTTTGTGTATGATTATGAAAGAGCTTGAATATGGTAGAGGTTGACTATTATAGTATGTGGCCTTAAATTTTCAATGTTTAATGGGTTAGTTTTGACACAAAGACACATTTAAATACAATAGCACAAGATTTATATTTACGAGTATTAAAAGTTCTCTCTACATATTGCATATGCGTATGAAGTTCTCAATTGGACAATGTCAAGTTCACTGAATCCGCTAAGCACCGAAGGTTGCAAATTTTGAACACCAAGCTCAATGAACTTCAAAGCAAACACCCCACAGTCTGAATTTGTCTGTTGCGGCACCAAAGGACGTTCAACACTCCATAACGCGGTCATGTCTCTGTGGTCGCCAGGAATACCTTAAAGATAATTTGATGCGTATTGGCACATCACAGGAAATATTTTGAGCATTTTTGACAGTTCTTCTTCAAGTTTACTCATGCTTGTAATTCGTTGTAGGGAGTCAAACACCACCAGACACTTTCTATCGAATTCAGCTCTTATGGCGACCCAATGATCCTTTATGTTATGAACCCAATAAACACATGAAATATCCTTCCACAGTTTAGAGCATGAGTCCCATCTACCAAGAACTATTTCTGCGAGGCCGGTGTCCAGGATTGGAAATAGTTCAGTAGTGGCATTGACCTCACCTAACATTTGAAAGCTCTCTAGGAGGACGGCATATGTTCTATCTTTCTTGTTATACATTTTCATGAAGTAGATCATGATTTCTTCCATATGCTGCGTATGAAATAAAAATAAGTTGTTAAATTTATAATACTAAGTTATAAATATATACGGAGTAATACTAATATTAACTTATATTACCGTGGTCTCCAACCAGCCGCCGGCCTTGATCAAGGAACTCCACCACTTCTTAACAATACCGTGGGACTCTCCCCTCTTTTCCATGATACACTGAACTTCTCTCCCATCAGCAATTGCCGACTGGATGAATTGATGGAAGGCCTCAAGTTGTTGGCTAGATGGGTTCCTTCGTATGTTGAGTTTCTCTTCTTCGGCTTTATCCAGCTCATTTGATACATTACTATTAATAACCTTTACCTTTTTAAGTACATTGCCGAAGACCCCTAAGTAGGGGCTCGATATATGAATACTTCGTTTCTTCTCCCGGTGACCTCGACCGAATTCTTGGATGTTAAAAGTAATATGTCAAGGAAAAGTTGGTTTAATTCAATAATACTCAAATTAAACCGTACCCGTGCAGCAGCGACTTCATCCACATCTGTTAGTTCTCTCAAGACGTCACCATTGGACTCAACTTTCTACTCAGAATTTTTAAGGAATAAGCATTAGGCAGGATCACAAATGAAAATATCAGAATATAAGTTTATTACCTCATCAACATTGTTTTCAGTTGATTTGCAGAATTCAACAACATCATGGACAATTTTATCACTCATTGCCATCTCATCTTCATTGGCCTCTCCCTCAACTGCAAACTTTTCCTCTTCTTCCTGACAATTGGATCAATAATGCTTTACAAAAGGTTCAAAACATAAGAACATACTTTGGCGACCATAAAAATCAAAGAAACAAAAAAGATTGACGAATGGGGTCGACCAAGTTACCTGGATTGGTGGACACCTATTCTTTACTTTAAATTGGTCAACCTCTTCTTCCTCTTTCTCTTCAGGAATTCCTTCAAAACTGGAGAGCTTGACCATATTTTCTGCAATGGGCTCATCTTCTTCCTTCCCATCTCCTTCCTTCCCAACTTCTTCCTTCCCATCTTCTTCTTTCCCATCTTTTTTTCCTCTTCATTATGGTCAACCCCGTCAAAACTATAGGGGTCGACCGTATTCACTCCCATCGGCTCTTCTTCCTTCCCATCTTTAATAGCCTCTTCATTATGGTCCACCCATTCAAAATAAGGGGGGTCGACCTTCTCATCTTCTTCCTTCCCATCTTTTATTTCATCCTCTTCATTATGGTCCACCCCTTCATGTATAGAGTGGTTGACCTCATTCACTTCCACCGGCTCTTCTTTCTTCCCATCGTCTTCCTTCGCTTCGTCAGTCCTTCCCTTTGAGGATACAAGTAAAGTTAAGAGAATTCTTTCTTCTAGTGTCTGAAATATTCTTTCCAAGAAATTTTCAACCTCCTGACATAGCGTCTTTTGAAGCTCAGAAAATTTACCATCAATGTAATCTTTCAGTGAATTAGGGAAGATTTGACTAGAATTTCCACTTAAAGATGAAGCCTTGATATTGGTTGTCCTTTCCAACATAGGTGTGTGCTCAGCCTTTCCATGTGGGGTGCACGGCTTTGATACTTGTCTCCTCCTAAGGACATACTTTTTGGAGGGGACTTCTGACCCCTCACTTGAAGAGTGAACTTCATCTGATGATGAATTCCTTCCTACAGCAACTTCATCTTCACTTGCTTGGGTCAGAAGTTGTTTTTTCATGCATAATTGAATATTCTTGTCACCACCTTGGATTCCCCTTACGAATTCTCCTAGAGTTGGATTGGAAACAGAAGGCAAGGAGGTCAGACTGGTGATCCAAGGGGCACGTATTTCACTTCCTTCTGGAAGAAGAATGCTCCTAACACTCTACAAAAGAAAAAGCATATTTAAAAAATGATTGTAGATCATGAAGTCGACCTTCACATTAAAGACATCTTAAGTCGACCTTCACTTTAAAGATCATTAAGTCGATTTTCACCTTAAGTCGACCTTGTTCTTTAAAGTTTAGACCTTACCTTGGCAGCGTTTAGTGCATTGATTATGGCTTCGTGCGACGGCTTTTTTGAAATATTATTTTTCTAGAGACACATTCTCGGAAGTGCTGGATTTGTTTGCTCCATCTTCACTCCAAATGTCTCTCCAAAATCATTAATGCACTCAAATAGGATAAACTGCATTCAGCAATAAATGAAGCCCAATTTAGCCATCTCCTTATAGGAACTTTTAGTATCAATTTAAATTAATTTACTCACGGATGAGGGGAGGACAAAGCCAGTGTATCGGAGGGTGTTTGATGTATTCCCGCCTTTGACAAGCTTCTTTTTTCTGAAACTAAGTCCTTCCCCAAAGATTGGATACGGAGGGACTCCAGGAATGCCCATGTCCCCCATGGGAAAGACATGGAATCATCAGAGTTTGCAACAGTGGCAAGGATCCATTTCGGAACTGGGGCATCTTTCTTAGCATGACCAATTAAAACGAGAACAACAAACATCAATGTCGCCACCTTCACTATCCACTGTAGTGCATACTCTTTCTTCCCTTCATCGTCAAGTAGCTGGCACAATTTTGAGAACCTCTCGACAACTGAAGTGTAACATACCACACCCTTTGACCAGTTTTCTTTAACGAAAAAAGGCAGTGAATCCTTATCATACTGCTCTTTGTATCCGGGAGCTAGTTGTGAACATTTGAGTCCAGTAATCAAGGAAAATTCCATTAGAGAGTATCTAATGGGAACTCCATTTACTACAAACCACATTTCAGAACCTTTTGCTCCTTCCACATTAGCCTCCCTAACCATCAACTGCCATAACATGGCTGGAGGGGGAACAAGTTGGACATCAAGGAAAGCACCAAAAGGAGAATCTCTCCTAAACACTTCTAGTATTTCCATATGATCGCACAACTTTTCTTTCATCAATTTTTGGAAGTCTTGCAGTGAAGACTTCACAGTCAGCTTCATATGTGGAAAGTCCTTTGAATTTACCTTCGTCTTTATCGTCGGAACCTATATAACGGCATATAATGTCAATGAATTTCATATGGAAAGATATGCAATTAGTGCGACCTTTAGGTCGACACTTATTTTAGTCGATCCATGAAGTCGATAAGACTAAAACTTCATAAACCATTGTCCATTGGTTATTTGGAGAGAGAATAATTCATTTAAAATCAAGTGTCTGACCTCGAATGTTCCTTGTGTGGGCTTTGGGCTACCGCTGTGCTCTTTCATCCTCTCTTCTGCATGACTCATCGTTTCCATTCTTGGAGGAAGACAAAGAAGCATTCTTCGTCCTAATTGTAGAAATTCAAGGTTTTCCGAGATCGGTGACTTTGGATGGGTAGGGTTTCGATCAAGTTTTGCAAGTGTAGAAGAGGGGGGATAGAGCACACACAGATCGAAAACTCAATGGTCGCACGATGAAGGAAGATGTTTATAGTCTCTTCCGACGTCGTTTCGCCCATTCTCGGATTTTTTATTTAAATTTAAAGTTGAAACGCCGTTTACGCTTTGTTAAATGGAATAACTTTTCATTTTCTAAGAAGCGCGTTGGTCATACACGCCTGGACATTTCCGTCAATTCACCTTTACAGGGTAGTCCACCAAATATGAAACATTTACAGGGCATTTTGATAAAAACTTCGTCAAAAAGGGGTAAATGTCAAGTAACTCTACTATTTGCCATTAGTTTTGTTTAATGATTATTGGGAGTCCAACCTTACAGTATGATATATTACATTTTTTGACACAAACCATCGCCCCTTGTCATTGTTTAATGTATAATGTTTTTTTGACCTTTTGCACGATGCCGATAGATGGAGCTACCCATCACCACTGGACGATGCCGATACATCAATCTCCGAATCCCCTTTCTCTGCTGCTCTCGATGCTCTTCAAGATCATTTGAAGTATGGTTTCTTCCTAACTTGGTTTGTGCGGCAAGCAGGATTAATCAAAACAGATATTTAGTTAATCACTTCTATTTAGGGGAGTTTAAGTTTGAGCTCCTATTTTGAGGATATGGTCCATTTTTTACTCATATTTATGGGGTTTTCTTTTTTAAAAATTTGAATTAAATAAAAAAATTTCGTATACACTTTCAATTCTTCAAATATTACTTATTCTACTTTAGCACTTTTGTTTATAGTATTAAAAATCATGTGAGAAAATATATTTTCTTCATTTCCTGAAAATTATTATACTGAATATAAATTCAGAATCGACAAAAAATTCATTCAACCCCGTGCGTGGCACGGGGTTAAAACTAGTTTCTTAAAAAAACTATTCTCCTAGTCTCTTGTGGCCCTACACTTGTTGCTGCCTTTAATACCACTACCACCGCCGATACTTCGCAACTTGCCAAAAATGTTAATGTCGTCGTTCGAGCCTGTCACGATTGTGTGTCACACAAACTCTAAAAATTAAAATAAAAAATAAACAAATTATTAATACATAGCCAAAAAAAGCCATAATGTTATAAAAACACCACTCATGCTCACAGACACTACAAACAAATGTGCTATACAATGCCAACATCAAAAATGTGCTATAAAATTAAAAAAACCCCAAAAATACTATATATTGGCAACACACAATGCCGACAACGAAATTGTTAAAAAAAATACCAGCATTACAATGGCAACATAAAAAATTACAATCCCTAAGAGATGATATCAGTTGACATTATACAATGCTAAAGTAGCTAGAGCATCACACTATCAATATTAAATAAGTAAAAATATTAATGGGAACTTGTAAACCAATGTCCTGACTGACTTGGTCACAATTCCATTCTGAAAATTATGGTACTATCTATTTCGCACTATGTTTATGTGCTTCAATATTTCATACTTTACAAATTTAATAATCGTAAAAATCACTCACAGAAAATTTATATTTTTCTCTCCCATTTTTTCAAAACAACTGTAGAAATGTGTAAAACCTTTCTTGCTTATTTACGTAATCACAACGAACATATATACAACAACTACGGGCTACGTCTAACGCTAGTGGGCTTGGGCCCGTTACAACACAAGCTTCAAAATATACATACGCTAATACTCCCCCTCAAGTTGGCGCATGAAGATCTCGAATGCCCAATTTGGAGAGTAAGAATGAAAATAAAGGACGATTCAACGCCTTTGTAAATAAATCGGCAAGCTGCAAGCGAGTGGGCACGTAAGTTGTGGTAATCTCACGGCATTGAACACATTCACGAACAATGTGGCAATCAATATCGATGTGTTTCATACGCTCATGAAACACCGGATTAGCAGCAATGTAAAGAGCGGACTTGTTATCACAGAACAATCGCGGTGTGGTTGGTGGAGTCACGCCAAGAGCCCCAAGGAGTCCCCTAATCCAGCGCACTTCTGCGCACGCATTGGCCATCGAGCGATATTCGGCTTCAGCAGAAGAGCGAGACACTGTGGTCTGTTTCTTTGTCTTCCAAGAAACCGGCGACCCACCTAAGAGAATAAAATATCCACTGACAGACCTCCGAGTGAGAGGACAAGATGCCCAATCCAAATCACAATATGCAGATAACTGTAAGGAGCTGTCACTGCGATGTAGTATGCCCTGTCCCGGATCTCCCCTCAAGTAACGAAGGACTCATCGTGCGGCATCCATATGATCAACCCGGGGAGCGTGCATAAACTGAGACAGAACATGGACTGAATAAGAGAGATCTGGTCGAGTAATGGTGAGATAAATCAGCCGGCCAATTAGACGTCGATATCGTGCCGGGTCATGAAGTTCGGTGCTAGTAGATCGGCCCAAGCTGTGGTTAGGTATGATGGGGGTGTCGGCTGGCTTACACCCCACCATACCAGCTTCGTGAAGAATATCCAAGGCATATTTTCGCTGGCATAGAACAATCCCCTCCGCAGATCGAGCACACTCAATGCCCAAAAAATAAGATAAGGGCCCCAAATCCTTGAGGTGGAAACACTGATGCAGATATGCCTTAAAAGAGGCACATAACTGAGAATTATTACCTGCAACCAAAATATCATCAACATAAACCAGCACAATCAAAATATCAGGACCACATCGACGAATGAACAAGGTGTGATCAGCATGAGCTTGGCGGAAACCATAACGACGCATGGCACATGTCAATTTAGCAAACCAATTGCAAGGAGACTGACGCAAACCATACAATGACTTGCGCAAACGGCACACTTTCCCCGGGTGGCGTTGTGCATAACCAGGCGGTAATCGCATGTAAACTTCCTCAACTAAATCACCATGAAGAAATGCGTTGTTGACATCAAGTTGGTGGACATGCCACCCTTTAGCCGCAGCCACGTCCAAGAGCACACGAACGGACCCCATTTTGGCCACGGGGAGCAAAAGTATTTGTATAATCAACCCCCAACGTTTGGTGATTCCCGAGGACAACTAGTCGGGCCTTGTCACATTTCTTAGTGCAATCAGAATTGAACTTCATTTTAAAGACCCATTGACACCCCAAAGTTGTCCGGTCGCGAGGTAATTCCGTGAGATCCCAAGTATGATTATTCTCTAGAGCCTGAATTTCCTTGTGCATAGCTTCACGCCAATTAGAATGGGGAACAGCCTCGGCATAATTCTTGGGAACAAAGTGAGGGCTGATGGCTCCCAAAAAACCTCGGTACCTGTCATTCAAGTTATAATAACAAAGTTGGCAATAGGATAGCGTGTACCTGAATACGGAGACCGAACAGGAGGGGCGCACAACGAAGCATTAGATTGCATAGAATTAACGATGTAGTCACTAAGATGGGAAGGCTGACGACGCTGTCATTGAGGACGAGAAAGTGGGATGGCAGCTGTATCGGTCTGGACCGGTTGAGGGACTGCCGGAACAGTGGCGGTGGGCTGTGCTCGGAGGACCGACGGACTGGGCAGCGGGAGGTCAGGGAAATCGGTTGGGGCTGTGGGTTGTGGTGTTTCGGCAGGTGGGGTGGGAATGGCAAACGGAAATTGGGATTCGTCAAACGAGATATCCCGAGTGTGAAAAAAACGGTGAGTGTCAAGATCGTAAACGCGCCAGCCTTTAGTACCCGTGGGATACCCGACAAACATGCATTTGGTGCTACGTGGGAAGAATTTATTTGAAGCGGGGAGACGCACAAAATAGAGACACCCAAATATGCGTAAGTGACTGAGATCAGGTGCTTTATTATGAAGAATTTCAAAGGGAGATTTCCCACCCAAGAGTTTAGTAGGGGTACGGTTGATGAGATAAACAGCGGTACGAACACACTCACCCCAGAATTCAATAGGTAGACTGGCCTGAAACATCAAGGAACGAGCCACATTTAAAATATGGCGATGTTTACGTTCCACCCGACCATTTTGTTGAGGGGTACCAACACAGGAAGTTTGAACAAGAACACCCATAGACAAGTAATAAGCACGGAGATGCCGATTGACAAACTCAGTTCCATTGTCGGAACGAACAACTTTTATGGTTTTATGGAACTGAGTTTGAATCAGACTAAAAAACTGTTTAAGGCAGCTAGTTACTTCAGATTTGTCAATAATCAAATAAGCCCAAACAGCACGTGAATGATCATCAACAATAGTGAGAAAATAATGTGCACCAGTAGTCAAACAAGGGGTATAAGGTCCCCATAAATCACAGTGAATTAAATCAAAGATACTAGTAGCTTTATTGGAACTGAGAGGAAAACTACTACGAGTTTGTTTAGATTGAAAACAAATTTCACAAGTCTGTAATAATTTGAGTTTTGAGCTACTGGGAACAGGGAGAAGAGAAGACAAAACTTGAGAAGAAGGATGGCCCAAATGCTTGTGGAAAGAATTGGGTCTCCCTGGCTAGCAAACGCAGGACTGGACGGACGAAAAAGAAACACCCCGTTGTGTGCTTTACCCTGTCCAATCTCCATCTTCGTTGCACAATCTTGTATAACACAACAATGTTTATTAAAAATAACTAAACAGGAATTGTCCCGAATAAGGCAACCAACTGAAATAAGATTGCACAAGAGTTGCGGCACAAGTAGCACGTCCCTGAGGGTAACCTCTGGGGAAAGGCAAACGCGCCCACATCGGGTTGCCGTAGTGTGCATACCATTAGGCAGTGTGATAACACATGGCGTGATGGGAACAATATGAGACAAATAGGAGATATTACCCATCATGTGATGGGAGGCGCCGCTGTCAATGAGCCACTCACGGGAGGAAGACTCGGCGTTAGAACATGTACCCTTCTCGGTAGAAGATGTAAGACCCAATGGGTTGGGATTTGTGCCCGATCCACCCCCTGCGGCGTGTGCTCCCCCTGTCGGAGTGCCTGCCCCTATCGCAGCAGACGTGCCGCCGGATGACCCGCGGCTAACTCCACGGCCAGAACCACCTCCGCGGCAAGAAACTCCCCCTCTACCACGTCCTTTGCCCGGGGGATAGCCATGCAACTGGTAGCGTCGGTCCTTGGAATGACCATCTTTGCTGCAATGTGTGCAAGAGTAAAGAGGAGGGTCGCCATGACCC